TAAAACTAAGGATTAATACTAGAATTGAGTGTATTTTTGTATGCTTTGATGTGTTCGTTGAATGTGTAGACATATTCTTGTTTGTGTGGAAAAATAGAAAAAGAAGCAGAAGATGATGGTGATCAAGGGAAGACCACGAGTACCTAGACGGGTCGTGGTCCTTGCCACGAACCTTGGTGCCAGTCGTGAAGTATTTCTAGTATGAAGGCTTGGAGGAGTTGAGATTTGGTTGGATCAAGTAAAGATCACGGCCAACCTCACGGACCGTGGTCCTCATAACAGTCTGTGGTTAAGCTCGTGAAGCTGACTCAGTGCTTGGGCCTTAGGAAGATGGAGTGCATGAGCAACCAAGTGAAGACCATGGAAGGCTCCACGAGTCGTGGTCACCATAACGGCCTATGGTGGTGATCGTGAAGATAAACCTGTACTTAGGCCTCGAGAAGCTTAAATGGGAAGTGACCAAGTAAAGACCACAGACACTATGACAGACCGTGGTCCCTATAACGGTCCATGGAGTTGCCCGTAGTACCTACCCAGTGTGTTGACCTTGAAGATCCAACGTTGCAGAAGTATCAAGTGAAGACCACGAGGGGCTTCACGAACCGTGAAGCCCTTGACGGGTCGTAGAAGTGGTCGTGAAGTTTCCAACAAGTCAGTCATACTTCGAGTAGGACTTTTTTTAAAACACCTTATTTTAATTAATTAGGGTGCTTTTTGTTATTTTGGATATCTAGTCTGATCTTGAACGAAGAACATAGTTTCTATTATTCGAATCTCTTGGTTTTCAATTTTAACATTGAATTAAGTTTGAAGTTTGGATTTTCGGTTCTTGAATTATCAAAGTAGCTTGTTGATTTTCTTATTCTCGTAAATACTTTCTCAACATGTTTTCATTTTATATTTCTGAATATTTACGTGAAATCATGAGTGGCTAAATACCACAACTAGGATTGTGGGATCTATGACGTGAATCGAAATGTAATTCCATAAAATGAGTGATAGGCAATTTATGTTTGCAAATTATAATCTAGCTTTCATTATTAACGTATTCTGATGAGTGCACGCATTAGAGTGACCCTGAATCTATTATATGTTCGAGAGAAAAATAATAGTTTGGAAAAAGCTAAATTAGCTAGAAGAAATGGAGTCAAAGTTTGAGTTCGAGAGAAAAGAACTTTAACACCATTGTAAACGAGGTTAAAACTAGTAACACTCTGGGACCAACAAGACTTGAGTGAACATTATCTGATTAGACTGAGAAGTATCAGATATATCTAACTCATCGGTATTTTGTAGAGTTAAATTTCCTTAAACTCAACCAAGGAAGAACATTAGGTGAACGTTATGGGGAACACAATCCTAGTTTCTTTTAATCATCGATACAAATTGAGAACTGATAGTTGTGTTAATTGTTAATCTGGATTTTGATTACAAATTTTAGTTACTAGAACATTACAACTAAACAAGCTTTACTTTCTGTAATTGTTTCTTTAAGAAATAATAACGACATTTGAGTAAATGCAACAGTGAAATCATTTCTGTAAAGAAATTCTCTGTGGGATTCACCTCAACTCACGTTGAGTTCTGTAAATTGACTTCGATCGTTTATATCTCTTAATTGAGGTGTAATTTCTAAAGTATCATTGAGCTTGTAGCTTGATCTAGCTTTGTTGAGTTCTTGTTGAAGTCTATATAAGCTAGAGTTAGTTGGTGTAGTGAGCAATAAAGTTATTTCTTGGTTTTGTAACAAAGGTATTACAAGGGGGAAGGGATTAAGAATTTAGTTCTCAGCTTACAAGAGTTTGAAATCTAAATCTTTGCTCGTTGATCAATGGAGTTGTTTTTGAAATCCTTTGAGACATGTCATGGCTTTTTCCACTTTTGAGCAAGGAGATTTCCACATACACATTTGTTCTTTATTTTACGCATTACTTTCTGCATCGTATGTGTTTGTGTTGAAGGAACTGGTCAGTTGCGTTGTGATGGACTCATAAGTCATAAAAACCATCAATTGGTATCATAGTTATAACTCTATTAGGTAAATACCAAGGGAGGATCCTGTTCAAAATGGTTTCTTCCCCAAACATAGAGGAAGGACAATCTACCACTAGACCTCCACATTTTAATAGACAATACTATAGATGGTGGATACGAGGATGCATGATTACACTATGGCAGAAGATAATTAACTTTGGGAAATCATTCTTGATGCACCTCCTGTTACCACGAATGATCTTAAGGAAGAAGAAATGACTTGCTTTGTTCCTAAAACTCGATAGGGAATATAAAATTGATCAAAACAAGGTCGAGAACAACTACATGGATAATAAGTTATTGGTCTGTGCAATAGGACCAGATGAATACAACTAAATCGTAGCTTGTGAATCTGCCAAGGAGATTTGAAATTGTTTAAAAATAGCACATGAAGGAATAAGTCAAGTGAAAGAGTCCAATGTGGACATGCTTGCTACTCAGTATGAGAAATTCACTACTGTCACGCCTCAAATCCCATTAAGACGGATAGGCACTCGATGCCCTAACGGCCCGAGAGAACCAACATGTGACCTGTGCTTACTATGCATGTAACTATGAAAGTTTTGTGACAAGTTCGCCAGGGACACAACGATATAAACCGACATAAGTAGACCCAAAACTTATATACAAGACTTGGCAATTGAGGCCACAACTGGTTAAGATGCAACTGAACCATATACATAAGTCTACAAAGCCTCTAAAAGATAGAAACTCTTAGAGTAGGTCGGGACAGACCCCGTCTTACCCCTAGCTACGATACAATACCAAAATGAGTCTACCAAGGGTTCAGTAAAGCTCCGAAGCAACCTGGAGCTCACCAAAAGTAGTTGAGTGTCGTATGCTCCTACTGAGGAGGTCTACTAGCGAGAGTACCTGTGCCTGCAGCATGAAATGCAGCGTCCCCCGCGAGGGACGTCAGTACGAAAAGTGTACTGAATATGTAAGGCAACTACATATATAAAAATAAGAGTTCAAACGAAACCAGGTATCAACGTACAAGTGCATAAATCAGAATAGGAGGCTGCCTCTGTTAACTCTGGTGGGGTCATGTATGTTACATTCTTGTCTTTACCTTTATGTGTGTTATGATCTTTATAACCCATGTGATATAAGTGACCAGCTGATCAGTGGTAGAAGAGGATGACCCATGCTAGGCATTTTAACCCCCGAGATACGGTCCTCAACATTGCACAAATCGGGATCGGCCCATGCTAGGCTTTTGCCCCTGAGCTGCCACCCTTCTATACCCATTGGGATCGGCCCATGCTAGGCTTTCGCCCTTGTGCTGCCACCCATAGTTATACAAATTGCTTCACTTAGATTCTTTAATCTTTGAGATTGTTGTTTTGGTGGTCACAATCATTTTTGAGATTTGGAAATACGAGACAGTAGTAGGAGACATGAAAATAATACTTTAGGACAGTAGCTACAATATAAGGAGCTATGTAACATTAATGCATTACTTGAGAGCTTGAATGACACAATTGACTTCAATTGACTATAGAGTACTGAACGTGTAACTAACTAATTATGTACACTTAGGAGGGTGGGGATATTGTTAGCTATTTGGATATCGTACGTTGCCACTATGTTTCCTTTAGTAGGAATAGAACTTAGGAAATTCACTTATTGACATTAATCGCAAGTATCAGATTTCATGCCAAGGAATATGGAATCGAATTGCCCTACATACCTTATTTTCTGACCAATACCACTGTCACAATTCAACCTCCATTCTTGGATGCTAATCTACAATATAAGTCACAATTAAGCTAATGTCAGCAGCTAATCAAGGCCCTAAAAACAGTAGTTAACACTTGACGGAAAGTAGGCCCATACAACCCTTGCTCCAATGGTGAACCACCACACCCTTCTTCTATACATTAATACAACTTCATACATCCTTTTCCAAGATACCCAAACAGCCCCCAACAACAATATACATAAGGCAGCCACTATTAATCCCTAAAACTCTTTCAGCATTATAGGAAAATATTAACTCAAAGATTTATCACCATCCATTAGTTCTTGATAAAGATATACAAAATTCTCCACCCAAATCTGTATTTAAAGAGAGGAAAAAAATGGGCAGTAGTCTTACCTTAGTTTCTAGGAATTTATCCTCTAAAGTTGTACTCCAAGAACTGAAACTCTCCTTCAAACTTTTACTTGAAAATGGGGCAATACTCAAGGAACCAAGGTTTTCTAGGGCTGCTGATTGAAGCCAAGAGAGACCAAGAGAGAAACTTAAAAAATCTGAAATTTTTGCAAGTTAAAAATGAAGCAAAAGATCTGATCTTTATCCCTTTAAAAAGGAGGTGTAATGGCCGAATTTCTTGATTAATTTTGGCCATATATTGTCAAGTAGGTGACCCACCTACTTGGCCTTTTAACTTGGGCTTTTGGGAACTTCAGCACTTGTTGGGCCCTACTCCTAATTATCCCTCTATTCATGTCAATTTGGGCCATAATTAATGCAAGTAGGTGGTCCACCTATTTGGACTTTTCACTTGGGCCTTTTTGGACTTAAGACTATTGGGCCTTGGCTGTCCATTTTTCCGTTATCCTTCTACTCAACTTGGGCCAAATTAATGCAAGTAAGTGGTAGTGCATTTGGCCCAATTACCACTTTACTACCTCTAGTTTAAATACTTCCGTCGGAGCTAACTTGCAGTACACATGCTGAAACGTGCAAGGTGTTACATCACCTTGCGAGCTAGCTAGTATAAACCAACACTAATCATATAAGAAGCACAGTCCCTCACCTATACTGTAAGGCTATGTCAAGTATCACGTGAATAGAACTAGCATATGCATAATACAGGTTGTTACATTCTTTCCCCCTTAAAAGCATTCGTCCTCGAATGTTAGCATGGTTACCCAGCCCAAACAAGTTCAAGCCTAAGTTAGTGCTACTATTAATCACATCATACAAATAGACTTATACTTACCTGTCAGCGTCTAGGCTAAGCATTTTCATCCTTCACATGGATCTGAAAGAGATGAGGATACTTCAATTTCATTGCTTCTTCCACTTCCCATGTAACTTCTTCTACTTGTTGGTTCCTCCGTAATACTTTTACAGAAGCTACTTCTTTATTTCTTAACTTCCTAACTTGTCGATCCAGAATAGCAATGGGTACTTCTTCATAAGTGAAATCTCCCGTAACCTGTACATCTTCAGTAGGAGTAATATGAGATGGGTCACCTATGCATTTCCGAAGCATCGAGACATGAAACATCGGATGAACTGATGAAAGGTCTTGTGGTAGCTCTAACTCATAGGCTACTTGGCCAACTCTTCGAATAATCTTATATGGCCCTATATAGCGTGGACTCAATTTTCCTTTTTTACCAAACCTCATTACCCCTTTCATTGGTGACACCTTCAAGAACACCCAATCCCCTATAGAAAATTCTTGTCCTCTCCTTCTAACATCTGCATATGATTTATGTCGACTTTGAGCTGTTTCTAGCCGCTGCCGTATCACTTTGACTTTTTTACCAAACCTCACTTGTGTTCCTAAACACTTCTGAAATGACTTCCAAAAATTTGCAGTGAATTGAGCTCCGCTATCAGATATAATAGAGATTGGCACTCCATGTAGACGAACTATCTCTTTAATATACAACCTCGCATATTCCTCAACGTATAAGTAGTCTTGACCGGCAAGAAGTGCGCTGATTTGGTCAGTCTATCAACAATTACCCATATAGAATCAAACTTCTGAAATGAACGAGGCAAACCAGTGACAAAATCCATATTGATCATATCCCACTTCCAAATTGGAAGTTCTATACACTGCATATAACCTCCGGGCTTTTGGTGCTCTACTTTCACTTGTTGACAATTTGGACATTGAGCCACGAATTCCGTAATGTTCTTCTTCATGTCCCCCCACCAATACATTTCTTTTAAGTCATGATACATTTTAGTTGACCCCGGATGGACAGAATATCTCGAATGATGCTCTTCCATCATAATCCTCTTTCTTAATTCATCTACATTAGGTACACACAATTTGTTTTGACATCGAAGTACTCCCTCTTGCGTAATGAAACGACCCCAAAAATGCCCGAAAATGTGCTTCGGAAACACCTAAAATTGTAATTTCCATATATCTCAAAATCCGTGCATCATTTCGGAAATTCGACTTCATATTCTTATTCAGGGGGTCAAATTGAGTGGGAAATGAGTCTAACCCGAATTTT